TGCCAGTACTTTTCTGTTATTTTACTGACTTGTCTATGTAATATACAGTTGAAGTTAGAATTATAAGCCCCCCTGTTTATTTTTTACCTTAATTTCTGTTTAACGGAAAGAAGATTTTTTCAACACATTTCTAAACATAATAGTTTTAATAACTCATTTCTAATAACTGATTTATTCTTTGCCATGATTAGGGTACTTGAGCAAGTTATTGTATAATGATGGTTTATTCTGTAGACAGTCGAAAAAAATTGGCTAAATGGGCAAATAATTTTGACCTCAAAATGGTTCATAAAAATTAAAAACTGCTTTTATTCTAGCCAAAATAAAACAAATAAGACTTTTCCAGAAGAAAAATATTATCGGACATACCGTAAAAATTTCCTTGCTCTGTTAAACATCATTTGGGAAATATATAAAAAAAAAAAGGGGGGGGGGGTGAACAATTCTGACTTCAACTGTATGTATTTTTTATGATATATTATTTCAAACTACTAAAATATCAATCAAAAGTCACTTTGTACAATTTCACTTTAACCTCAAAAGTCAACAGAGCAAAGATAGGTCCCAGAATGCTATTCATAACTGTAAATAAATGAAATGCTATTGCACTCCTGGTTAGACCTAAACTGCATTACTTTGTCTTGTACATGTGTAATGACAATCTAATCTAATCTAATCTAATCTAATCTAATAATTTCACCCATATTTTGACTTTTGGTTTTAACCAAAGTTATTTGAACCATTAAAGTAGACACTTAAGTGCATTTAAGAAGCTGTTTATGTTACAATTATACATTTAAATTGATTAGGATATTATTTTGAAAAGTGTCATTTTTGACATAGAATTTTCTCCGGTATGAAAACTGCAGGGAAGATAAAAAATGTGAATAAAACTTTCAAAAGCACAATAAAAGTCATAAAAGTGAATATGCTCAAAATGAATGAGACAAATAAATTGCTTTTACAGCACAATTTTCACTTTGGATATTTTGTAAAATGTGGCCTATACAACAAAATCTCCAAAATTTCCACTGAGTTTCTTAGTTTGCAAATGCACAAAGGTTGCAATTTTGACGCTATTGTATAAATGATGATTATACATTTTAATAAGAACAAAGTTAGTACACTGTAAAGACCATGTTTTCATAAAAGCTGCAAATTGACTCATGACTGTCAATCATGACTGTAAAGTTAGCTTAGTTAGCTTAATTTTTTTAACTATAGGTCATTTACTTAATATTAAGGCATTAGGTTTACTCACTAATGCTAAATGACATTCATTCATTTTCTTTTTTCAACCAACTTATCAAGCATATGTTTTACACAGCAGATGCCCTTCCATCTGCAACCCAGTACTGGGAAACATCCATACACACCAATTCACACACACATACACTATGGACAATTTAGCTTATTCAATTTACCGACACTGCATGTCTTAGGACTGTGGGGGAAACTGGAGCAACCGGAGGAAACCCATGGGAACACGGGGAGAACATGCAAACTCCACACAGAAATGCTAACTGACCCAGCTGGCACTCAAACCAGCAACTTGCTGTGAGGTGACAATGCTAATCACTGAGCCACTGTGTCACCATGCTAAATGAATGGTTTTCACAACATTTGAAACATTAAAGTAAACACTTGAATTTAATACACTTTATAATTATATAAAAATACTTTGTTTTATTTGAAATAAAATGTTTTGATTTTAAAACACTGGCCATTTTTTTCTCCGAAAACGAATTTTAAAAGCTCAAAAAAAAAAAAAAATATATATATATATATATCATAGACCTACATATACTCCAGTTTTTGTGGAGACATGAAGAAATTGCTTTGATGGAACAATTTTTACTTCGGATAATGCTTGAAATGTGGCCTAGCTTACATAAACAACAAAATCCTTGTCATTTCCATGTCTTTTCTTAGTCTGTAAATGCATGCAGGGAGCAATTTGGGTGCTCTCTAGCATGAATGCAATGGCTACTGCTACTTGCAAGAGCAAATTACGGTATCGCTGTTCATCTAATAGTGCTATTTTGGCATATTCATGACATCTGAAATCTGCGTCCTGGCTGTTTGTTTGGAGAAAACAATGCCTTAGAAATGAAAACTTGCTTGCGGCATGGCAAGATGCCGTGAAAGCTCTCCGCACAATCTGAAGACATAAATCTCCTTGTACCTGACAGAAACGTGTCTCTCGCAGTTCTAACTGGTATGATTGAATGTTTTGGCTCACATTTAAGAGCATGTTTGCACAGTGCAAAAAACTTAAAGCTAATTATCCCAGCAACGGCAGTGATCGCTATTGGAAGACATCCAAGCAACACAGCTACAGAGCTGATCCACTGCCGCATTATAAGGATTATTTTGAAAGTGATGCAAATTTGCGTTGCGAAGACACTTAAATATCATTTCAATCTCACGATAATCATCTGTCAGTGACTTTTGTTTTCTCGCCGAGGTGTGGTTATAGATGTGCACTCGGGTATTTCGGGACTAATTCAGATCATGCCTGTTGCAGTGGGTTCGTCTCGATGGAAAAAAAAAAACGTGTAGGTGCGATTCTGAGAAGTGTCAAATTTTAGGAACAGGTTAGATTAGTTGGTCTCTCTCTCTTTCTCCTGCTCAGTTCCTGTCTGTCTATCTTTCTTTCTCTCCATATCTTTAAACATCTCAGTTTCAGTCAGGGATTCCCCGACTCACTCGTGTTTGGGAGTTTGAGTGTGTCTGAACTCGTTAAATTAGAGCAGAAAGCACCTCGCTCAAAAAAACAGTACTTCAGTCTTATGATGTAGCACCCTGAACTATTTGTAATAATAGAGGCGTAGTTAATCTAAAAGTTAACACAAATTAACCCTCAGCCGTGTTGTGTGGCTTTCTTTGGTTGTACGTAAGAGGAGACATGATGAGAAATGTGCAGGGGTCAATGGTGAAAAGGGGATGTCAAGTATCATAGTCATTATTTACTTTCAGAAAAAAAGATATCATACATTTTACCATGATTTAGTTTCATTTTAGTTTATGTATCAAAATATATTTTGGTATTTAAAAACAGGATATTTTATAGGACAGGATCAAAATATTAAATTAATAAGTCCACATAAATCAGAAATTGCTGAGTCTTTTATTTCAGTATGTTGATGTACTTCCAATAGGATATATGCTGAAGGACATTTAATTTTCAGTAACCCAGTTAAAGCGCTTCCGTTGAACTGTATGCCGTTATAAAATTCCCATGTTTAAGATCTGTTTTCTTTGAACTGACATTGTTTCTATTTACTATGATCTTTTATGTGAAGCTGCTTTGACACAATCTACATTGTAAAAGCGCTATACAAATAAAGGTGAATTGAATTGAATTAAAAATCAATGAAAATCAATCTGAAAATCTTCACTGCCTGATATATGATGTAAAGTGGGTCTGAGAATGTACAAGAAGCACTGTATTAAATTCCATTTTTCTGCGCCATGTCTTTAAAATATGAAAATTTATTTTACTCCATTATTTTTAAAGGAGTTTCTAGGCTAGCTTTCTGATCCTAATGGTGCATGTGTATAAATGGCTTTTCATCTTATTTTACACTTGAACAACTAAATGAAAGCTTAAGTCTATTTAACTGATTATATTTTGTTTACAGTAAAATATCGATGCTGTAAAATCAATCGTATAAAATTGAGTCACATTAACCGGTTACTGAAAGTTTATCGGTAGAGGAAACTAGCTGTGCATATACCCTATTTAACAGAATACGGAGTTGGGGTGGAGCTTTCTTTTTGTGCAGCATTTCTTTATAGCAAACAAACAATAAGAAGGGCAGAGTAAAGAATATAGTCGGCGAACTGATGTCAACACAGGCACCACCACTCAAAACAAGGAAGCAACTGGTAACTGGTCATATTTTGAAGAACAAACTGTTTTTTTGTTCACAACAACTGTACAATAGCAAAATAAAAAAATTTAATTTTGATTTTACACATATTTTCGACAGAATTTGTATTCTTTGCCACTATCAAACCACTTGATTTTAGCCATTTGTCAAGGGGTTTTTAAACATTTAAAATAAAATCCAGTGAAGTATGATCACTTCTCCTTTCATAAATTTCATTAAAAAATTATATATTAATACATGTTAATAGAATAAAGATGGAACATTTTACATTTATTTAGACTATTTAGGTAATTTGAAACATTAAAGTATACACTTGCTTTTAATACATTTTGTATATACATACAATTTGCTTTTGTAAATTTAATTTGACCAAATCATTTAATTTGATTTGGACACTAAATCTACTCTCATCTGACTGTTTTTACATTGTTCTATATGATAACAGTGAATTGAATTTAAAGAAAAATGTTTCAAAAGCACAATAAAAGTGTCATAGATAGAAAATATTCTTTAAACTATGCTTTCATATGATTGATTAGTATCAAGAACAGGCTGAAATTATTATTATGTTTTCTCCTGAAATCAGTGTTTGTTCTCTTTCTACATTCATAAGGGAGTAATTGCCTGATTTGTGTACAGATTGTTTTTTTTGCGTCAAGACTTTTCAGTGAACGCTTTGAGATTCAAATTTTCATTTTAAGTTCAGTTTTGCTTTTATTATTTATTTTAAAAGACACTGTAAAATTAAAATGTAGCACACATACAATGTAAATCAAACTCACAGAATGCAGCCCTTTATATACAGGATTTCATTGTTTGACCTGGTTTACATGAGCAAACCCTTTGATGTTCTTTGTGTTTTCCCCTCACTGCAAAGCATGCAGTTCTGTGCAAACAAAGTCACTTGATATCAACTGTCAAAGACAAGAATCCTTCTCTCCGCTAAGACAGTTTTATTACCAGACAGTTTTCATATTCCCTTAAATTAGATTTATGTTTATCCCGGCAGCTGCATTGCTTATGTTACCGGGTTAAGTCATTATACTTGTATGCTTGTGTACTTGAGCGTTTAAGTCTTATGCGTAAATGCTTTGTGTTTGTCAGATCTCCTTTGACCTGGCCGAGTACACAGCAGATGTGGACGGGGTTGGAACCCTTCGGCTGCTGGATGCAGTGAAGACCTGCGGTTTAACTGACACCGTCCGCTTCTACCAGGCCTCCACCAGCGAGCTCTATGGGAAAGTACAGGAAATTCCCCAGAAAGAAACCACGCCATTTTACCCGCGATCGCCTTATGGTCAGCAAACATACGCATTAATCCAAACACTTAAAGATTACATTTTTCTGCTTTTTTAAATAAGACTAATTTCTTTTGCGCAATTGATGAAATATCATTCAGTTTAAAAATATATTATTGGAACCACAAAATGCTAATTATTCTAAATAGTTATACTTTGTAATGCATAGTAATTCCTATTTTATTTTATTACTATTTTGACATATTCACACTATAAAATATACAAAATGTTTTAATGGCATAGAAGATATTCTTGTTATTCTAATAATTTTAATAATTTTAAAAGGAAAAAATCTAGTATTTCGACCCAGGGAATGTATTTTTTAGCCGTTTGCAAGAATATACCCATGCAACTGATGACTGGTTTTGGTCCAGGGTCACATATAATCAAATATGGTACTGTATGTTCATATTAATGTATAGTATACAGATCAAAATCAAATATGTTGTTTCATTTGTATATTATAATATTGGGTAAATTAACAATGCAACATTTCCCATAATTTTCTTTTCGTACCATTTTTATTTAAAAAAAATGTGAAGCATATGCATTACTTGCATTTACTATGCATTCTATGTACAGCGTATATTTGTACACCCCTTACAAATCTCTCATTTAAATGAATATTTTCTATAGGAAGCTTTACAATAATATATTTGTGCATATACATTCCATTAGTCAGTACTAAAGCCAAATCTGGAGATAATCTTTATTTAAAGTTGAAGTTAGAATTATTAGCCCCCCTGTTTAACTTTTTCCCCAAGATTTTTTCAACACATTTTTAAACATAATAGTTTTAATAACTCATTTCTAATAAAGGATTTATTTTATCTTTGCCTTGATGACAATAAATAATATTTGACTAGATATATTTCAAGACACTTCTATTGACCTTATTCTAAAATGCGGAAGTGCACCTGTTTTCGCGACTGTCTTAGAACTTCCGTTTGAGTCGCCTATGGGAGAAATGACAAGGAATAATAAACGGCAGAAAACGGTCAAACTACTTGCTCTACAAACAAATGTTTGCATGACTATACAGACCAAGTAGAATAATATAACAAGGAAATATCAGTTTGCAACATCAAACAGCGAAACGAGCAGTTTTTAATGTCTAAAAATTAATGGAAGTGAATGAGACCGGAAGTCTCGTGCCAAAAAGATTCAAATGGCAGCACCCGCTCGTCTGCGGAGAATAAGGTCAATACTGCTTAAAATGAAATTTAAAGGCTTAACTAGGTTAATTAGGTTAACTAGGCAAGTTAGGGTAATTAGGCAAGTTATTGTATAATCGATTGTTTGTTCTGTAGACTATCGAAAAAAATTAGCTTAAAGGGGCTAATAATTTTGTCCCTAAAATGTTTTTTATAAATGCTTTTATTCTAGCCAAAAGAAGACAAATAAGACTTTCTCCAGAAAAATAAATTATCAGACACACTGTGAAAATATCCTTGCTCTGTTTAACATCGTTTAGGAAATATTTAAAAAAGAAAAAAAAGTCAAAGGGGGGCTAATAATTCTGACTTCAACTGTATATATTCACTGAGAAATGGATAAAAATATTCATTTTCAAAATTGAGTGTACTCGGTTATGATGAGCACTGTATAGGAAATCAGATTTGGGTGTTAAATGTGTGTTTGACACCAATATCATGTCTTTTTATAAAATTTCTTAAAGCGGTATTTCAACTGTCTATCTCTTTCTTTTTGTTTTGTTTTTTCTTGCAGGTGCTGCTAAGCTCTATGCATACTGGATCGTTATAAACTTCAGGGAAGCCTATAACCTCTTTGCTGTGAATGGGATCTTGTTCAATCATGAGAGTCCTAGAAGAGGTCAGACACACACCACACACACACACGATTCATAGTCTGGTGCAGAGATATTGCAGTTACTTTCACTTGGGGGCACTTTCTGGTAAAAGTAGGCCTGATTGGGTTTCATTTGGTTTTGAAAAATGCAGTAACCAGCAGCCACTGCTACGTGTCAGACCTCACATTTTCAGCACCTCATTCATCAAAACAGTCATAAGTGCTGGTCAATCTTAACAAGTCAACCTATTTTTTTTAACGCTCATGCCAAAAGGAGAGTAATGAAGTTTGAGAATGTCACCCATTCACTTAAATACCTTATAATTCATAAATGCTTTTTAATGTGTAATACATCATTCCTGTATGTTAATGGTTACATTCTTTTGTTGTACTCAAAGCAACATATTCTGAAGGGTTCGAATTTTGTACATGAACCAAATAATGGCAAATTCGTCAGTTGGTCCAGTGTTAAATTGTCTATTCTAGGTGTCAAGCTGTCAAAGTTTGCTCAAATAACATAAAAATTGCTACCAGATGGAAAAGTGTTAAGCGCAATAAGTTGTGAAAAATAACTCGGTGTCAATGCTCACAACTGACACACTCCTGAAGATCGACTCTGATAGCAAATCCAGTTCGCTTTTGCATATTGTGATGCATTCAAATCATGTCTGATAGATTATAGATTGTATATGGCTGTCGTGCTCTAACAGAAGTGAGTCTAACACACCTTTCATTGGGTGTGTGACTTGCTAACGTATAAATACAAACTTCCCAGGAGGACTTAACACCATTATTGCACTCCGATTCAAACATAATTGTGTCAGTGCTTGCATTTAGATAAACACAGATTATTATGTCTTAAATGAATGTAAACAGTTGGGTGTGTGTCAGTATACTAGATGTGTGCATTCGCTTATTTTATAAAAAAACAACACCAGAGAAATTCACTCAACAAAAGTGCTTAATTTATTTTCCAATCCAGACATTTAATCCAGCTCACGTAGCCAGCAAATACAAGTTTTGAGACATAAACAATACAGCTGACTGTAGTAAAGGAAATGATGTAAGAGTCCAAAGAGAATGCTGTGTGTGGCCAATACTCATTGTGATTGGTTTACGGGGGAGTATCACCATGACACAACATTTGGTAAAGGGTGCAGCCATGACATCTTCTCAACAACAAGAGTGTTGTTCAGTGCCCCCACCCTCAACCCCAGAACACAGGAAGAGCAGTGATGTCATCCATTTACGGATTTGGAAGCCGGTGACACAAACATCAGCAGCGCAAGTGTTTAAATGAAGGAGGGAGTGCAGGAGGGTTGCAAGATAGCTAGACGGGGAGAGATGGATGAGATGGTGTGAAAAAAGCCAACTTCATTTCCTGTCCGATCGCAGTGGTAACCTCCCGTCATTGGGTGGGTCGGTCAGCGATGATGAGTTAATCTGGTTTGGAATTCACTTTGGAATTTTGGCCGGTGTCCACTTTCACCAATAAACAAACCAACTCCGAAAGAGTTTATGAAAGATGAGGAGAGTAAAACAATCTGTTACAAATCCGTCTGGGGCGTGTGTGTGTGTGTATGTGCCCATGTGAAAGCAGTTGCACTTTGACACCTATTCAGACTTGAACGTCTAATAACAGCGGATAGTTCCAGACGTGAGAAACTGTCGTGCAGTCAATCAGAAGACATCACAGCGCTCCTGCATTACACACTCGTCTTTCGTCTTTTTGTTCACTCGCAGTCCCTCTCTTCTGTTGAAAGACGGGCGTTTTAAGAAGTTAAACCTCTCCAGGTGAGAAGGGGTGCACCTGTGTGAAGGTGTCGATGGACCTCTTAGCACTGGCAGACACGAACACGCTGTTGGATGAGCTGGGAGATGTTTTGCTCTTTCACTCCTTGTCTAGCCTCCTCAACACACCTCTGTTTGTGTTGTTGTGTTGTCAGGGCGACAAAGAAGGGAAGTGAATGAGATGCTCCTTTAATGTCTCAAATTAAACGTCACTCCTCACCTTGTGTCTCTTCTCTTTCCCTCTTTCAGTGTCTCGCTCTGTCTCTCCCACACACACTCCCACATGCACTCCAAAGTTGGAATAGTTGGATATTTGGGGCAAAACTTTTTCTTTCTTTCTTTGTTTTTTTTGCTTGCCTGGTTGGGCTAGTCTTCATAATTATCCTACAAATGCTTTCAGTTGCCTTAACACATTCATGCATGTTATATTCTACTTTTTAAAATAGTAAACAAAGAAATATTTAGACAAAAAAAAACTATTTACTCTTCCTTAAGTGTTTTCAAATCTTAATGAGTTTCTTTATTTTGTTGAACAGTAAAGAAGATATTTTGAAGAAAGCTACGGTAGGGAAAACAAATACTATGGAAGTCAGTGGTTATGTTTCCAGCTTACTTCAAAATAGCTTCTTTTACAGCTATCTACAGGTTTGGAATTAGTAAAGGTAGGCCTGTCACAATAATCAATATATCGATTTATTGCACAATACATGGACATAATTTATAGTGATGCAGTATATATCACCCACTCGTAATAACCAAGTCTAGCAAAATTTTAACTGATTGCACATCCTTTCTAAGCCCTATCATACACTTGGCGCAATAAGGCGCAAGACGTGTTTCTATGACGTGTTGCTTTTTTCAGACCATAATCTTCCCGTTTTCCGTCACGTTGTTTAAATAGCAAATCCATTTGCGCCACTTGGTGGACATATGGGTGATTCGGTCTGGGGCATAGCATGTGGGTTAGGATAAAACTCAGTTTTTTGACCACACTCTGTTATTATTGCTCATTTATCTGTTTGCTGGAAATTAGAACTGAATTTAGAAATAGTTTTGAAACAAATCTTTGCACTTAATAAACTAAATTAATTATGTAGGCTAATGGATGTCTGTGCGTAGGCCTACAACACATTTTTTTTATCCATGAAAGAGAGTGAAAGTGAAAGTAAAGAATTAGGAGGCTCATTCTCCAATTCTCGCGCTGCAGATGCTCAGTTCAACTGTTATCTCGCTAGTGAAGTGCTCAGTTTTTCCACTTACAAAGTCTGCCATGGTAATAGTAATTGCGCCATGGAACGACGCAACTGACTTTTAAAGGTAATGGGAGATGAGACTGATTAGTTTATTCTCAAAACACACCTAAAACTCATTAAGAGAATAAGCTCAACCCTGTTAGACAATGTGCCGTGGCGCAGAGCGGATTTTTCTGTCCTTAAAAAAGCAAAAGGGGATTCAGACACACCCTTAATGCTTTTGTGCCTTGCACTTTAGACGTTGCGCCTAGATTATTAAAATAGAGCTCAATATCTCTATTGAAAGTGTCAGTGTCAGTGGTTAGAAAACAACACTAATTATTAAATGATTTTACTACATAATGATTAATGATTTCAACGCCTAATTATTAAATTATTAAAATTACTATAATTAAACCTGGCATTATATAATAAGTGCCTAAAATTGTCTTGAAAATGACAATAATAGCTTTTATCACAATATATTTTGGAGCAATATATCGTACAACAAAAAATATAACATGGGAAGTCTAAGTAAAAGGCGAGTAAATGATGACAGATTTTCAATTTAGACTTTCTTTGACAAAAATGTAACTTTTTTTCATCATTTTCTCCCCCTCCAATTATTGCTTCACTTGAACACAAAATAAAATATTTAGAAAAATGTATGGAAACTGGTAGCCATTGACTTCCATACATAGTTTTTATGTTATTTTACAAGTGTATAATATAAATAAAATACTCACCAACAGAGATGTCCATTTCAGCATTTTGCATGAACACCAGAAAAAGTTGATTCAACTTAAAAGTGTAAGGCAGTTTGCTGCAGAGCTTTTTTCAGTTGACTCAACTTAAATCAAGTCAAGTGCAGTTGAACTCAAAGTTGAACTCAAGAAAGCTCTGTAGCAAGTCGCCTTACAATTTTGAGTTGAGTTTAAAGTTTGATAATAAAAGTTTGAAATAAAGTACTGACCCAACAGTTCTAGTGACAATTCAACTGCCTTGTCTGAAACACTCTCAGTGACTACCAGGTCAGCAGGCCATTTGTATTATTGAGCCCTTTGACTTTTTTTCGGGTTTAATGCTACAACATTGCCAATTGTGAAAGAGAGCAGGGTGCTGGTGTGTGTTTTTGTCATTTGCCTAAATGAACGTGGCAATGTGAGGGTAGTGTGAGCGAGCTTCATATACATGTGCATGAATGTGTGTTCAGACGTGTGTCAAGAAACAGGAACAGGACCTTGTACTGACAGTCGTTTCTTTTTTCATGTGCTGGAAATTTCTGAGTGTCAGTGACTGATAGACCAGACATCTTGACTGCACTTTATTTCCACCTGGTTTGGCAGGGTGTCTTTCCATCCATTAGAAATTTCGCCTAGATACTCAACGTTACCCTCGCTCATTACTCGTAAAATGTGCATTGACAGCGCCTGGGCACATTCTGCTGCCAACACGCACACCTGCAGGTCTGCCGCCTGGTTTGAGGCTCCTGTCCGCATAATCACAGTCTAAACCAGCCCTAAACTGGGTTGTTTTAGACTTGATGAGAGCGAGCTGCGGTCGACTCCCTGCGACTCTGCTCCTCGTCACGGCTTCCCACCGCGTGCTAAGAGACGGCCTAATTACACTCCGACTGGAAACAGGAGCCGGTGCGCGGAAATGGCCTGTCCTGGACTTTTAAACACACATGCACACAGATGCATAGCCGGCCCATTATTGCGGACTATGGTTTGGTCAATCGACTCCGATTTGCTTTTTTTCCCCCCGTCTTTTTTTAAAATGAGTGAACCGAAATCAGATCCTCAAGTCCCCCCCTGAGGTTTGTCTGTGACGACGGATTGACCCGGCTGTTTACAGTGTGGTATTTTAAACCGTTCTTCTCGTGCCAAGCTCACGCACCTGGTCGCGAGCTGCGTTTAGCACGGATTAGAAAGAGCCCTTTGTGATACCAGTAAGCCTGCACACGGGGGGCCCATGACGGACATCCTGCAAGTGGAAAGAGTGCGTCCACTTACAACTTTTTTACTTTTTTTAAGTGGCAGATCTTAAAAAAAAGCTAAAAAAAAAAGACCTTTTGTAAGAAAGTTTGGGGTCAGCGCTATATCTTATATTATTTTGAACATGTGCAAGCAGTTTTATGGCCTGACAAACTTAACATAGTTTTGATTGAAAGTTCAGCTTGCTAGTAAAAAATGATTGGCATTTATTGGTCAAGAAAACATTTCACAAAACTAGAATTTAATGTAATAAATAATAATTTTAGTATTTACCCTTGACAGATTTATACAAAGTGACTTGCATTGCATTCAAGATACCCATTTTCTTTATCAGTTCATGTATACCCTGGGACTTGAACCTATGATCTTGGCTCTCCTAAACCATCTAGGCTGCAGGAATGCCTGTAAATGCTTAAATCATTATCAATATTTATGCACTTTACAGATGCTTTTATTCAAAGCATCTTAGACTGTTTAATCAGTTCATACATTCCTTTTCAAATAAATATATATTTATACTTAGCAGTTGAGGGATGACATGGTAGTGCAGTGGGTAGCGATGTCGCCTAATAGCAAGAAGGTTGCTGGTTCGAGCCCTGGCTGGGTCAGTTGCCATTTCTGTGTGGAGTTAGCATGTTTCTCCCCATGTTGGCATAGGTTTCTTCCGGATGCTCTGGTTTCCCCCACAGTCCAAAGACATACCCTATAGGTGAATTGAATAAGCTTAATTGGCCGTAGTGTATGTGTGTGAATGCAAGAGTGCAGGCCCGGATTGGCTAGTCAGGAGGACTGGGAGAATACCCAGTGAGCCGGTCTGTTTTTTGGCCATGAGGGCCGGTGTCCCTAGCTGCTTGCACTCTCAGCAGTCACACTTTTTTTCATTTATTTATTTATTTATTTATTTATTTATTTGACCTTAGCCTCCTCTTTTTATTCATTATTTTACTGCAGCTCCGCTCTTTTTATTTATTTTCTCACAGCCCTGTGAGCAAAATGCAGCCTGTAGGTTAAAAAGAGGAGAAAAAGATTAAGCCATCAATAGAAAGTAATACTGTGGTTTAAAGAATCATGCAGATTTCAGTGCAATATCCATTTTATTCTTTATTCCAAAGGCATCATCATAACAGCACCATTGTGGTCGAGTGGTCAGCACATTGCATTACGACGCAGCTGACCCGAGTTTGAACCTCACCTGAGTAGATTTTTTTTTTTGCTTTTCATTTTAGTATTAAGATGATGTTTTAAAGAATAGCGTTGGAGATTTAGCTACCCTTTATTGTTCTCATATTTATGAAAAACATTTGAAGTTCTAAAGCAACTGTTTCTTGAAAAAGACGTGATAGTGTCATTAGAAACTGAATTGGAAATGACCTTATTTTAATATAGTCATAATATAGTCAGTCGTGAACTGAGGTGGGCAGATCTAAGGCTTAAAACCCCAGGGCTAAAAAGGAGTCCCACTCCAGCCTTGCAAGAGTGTATGGGTGCTTCCCAATGCTGCGTTGCGGCTTTAAGGGCATCCACTGCATAATAACATATGCTGGATAAGTTGGCGGTTGATTCCGCTGTGGCGATCCCAGATGAATAAAGGGACTAAACCGAAAAGAAAATTAATGAATGAACTTGGCAGTTGAGAGAGTTTTTTAAATTGAAACTAATCACACCTGTATTTAAATGATACATTATTTGCTCTTCATTGCAGGCTATGAGAATCAAACCCATGACCTTACCACTGAAAGCACTATCATCTATTCCTTTTAGCTACAGGCATGGTAAAAAATTGCTTCAGGGTATTTTTCAAATAAGTATGCTTACATTTGTTAGATGCTTTTATTCAAGCTACATATTCTCCCAAACATTGCCTGGGAATCACGACCATCTTAAGTCAGTGAAAAGAGCTGAATATTATGGTCTAGAAATCTGAGAATATCATTTTAACATGGTTCGTGAATGCGTATATTTCAGTCCACCCAATTTTGCAGTTGAGTTTTATTTTGCAATTATAGGGCATGATCTTCCCGGCACTGCTGATTCTCCCTGGAAAGAGTTGTCCAAAAAAACACACATGTGGGCTTCAGCCCAAGTCAAGAGCGTAATAGTCGTCGTTCACTTATACACTTATAGTAAGTGTGTTCCTGCTTTGACCTGGGCCTGATATTATAGGTGGTGGAGGTTTGCGTCAAGAACTCCCACCTTGGTCTGATTCAAGCTTTAGCACAACCCAGCAGGACATGAGAGCGTCCAAGGTTTCCCACAGATGAAGCATGTGTATGTGTGTGTGTGTGTGTCTGGCAGCTCAGTAGGACTTTGGACTGACTTACAGATTCTCCAGGGTGGTCCACTGACTAGACAAGAGTCTGATTTTATCCCCGTGTGTGAATGTTACTGCGTGTTTTTGCCTGTGTGTGTGAGAGGGACAGAGTGACGGCCATGGCTTCCCATTCGCTTTGCCCTAATTGTACAAATTTGCACTGACATTATGGACGGGGGTGTGGGATGAAAATAAATGATATGGACGGGTGCACATTGAGAGAAAGAGAGTGACAAGACAGAATGAATGAATCATACTCATTTTGTCATATCTTTGTCTGCATGTTTTTTTCAGGTTCAAATTTTGTAACTAGAAAGATCAGTCGCTCCGTGGCGAAGATCCACCTCGGGCAGTTGGAGTGCTTCAGCCTGGGCAATTTGGACTCCATGCGAGACTGGGGTCATGCCAAAGATTATGTGGAGGTATGAACATGCACACACCACAAACAATCCCTCTATCTATTGTTCTAAAGATGCACTTATTTGACAGCCTTTTCAGTTCTCTTTTAGTTACATTTACATTTTTACCCATGATAAGTAAGAAATAAATAATGTGTGTGTGTTTATCAAATATTTTTCAAGGTTTTTCTTCTAAGGTACATTTTTGTATTTTGTTGTGTATATTATTTCATTTTTATTATAATGATTTACATTTTACTGATACAATAAGTAATGATAGATATATTATACAGTAAATAAATAAATAGATACAAAAGTATCTATATATAAAAGAATGAATAAATAGATACATACATAGATAAATAAATAAATCAAACACACTCACATATATACATGCATACACACAGACACAGTGCACATGCTTTGATTTTGTTGCAGTAGTACATAAAAAGGATTCAGTATATGAGATAATGTTTTATTTTTATGACTTGGCCTGATTTAAACCCCAAATTTTGGACAGGAATTGTGTCACGGTTTATTGCATTAGGGTTGCTGGATTGCACAATTAGTTTCTTGTTCTTAATATTTGTTTTGTCATTACTATTGATGCAATGTGCATTCCTGTTTAATGGTGTGTCTGCCTTCCTTTTTACAAGCATTACTCTTTGTGGTAATGATGGATACAAAGTATACATCAGGTCAGGTGTCTTCTGTTGCTATTTTTGTCTGGGAACGGAAGACATTGGTCACATTTTACTGCTCAATAAATATGTCAGTGTGTCAGACATCTTACTGTGATAAAGATTCTAACATTCCCGATAAACTAAAGTCCCGATAGAGAAAATATTCAGCAACTTTTGACAAATGATTATTTATCTTATGTGGAGAAGTATTTGTTTATAGCATTGTCATCTAAAATTTAGTCCACCAAAGAAGAACAGTAACTGTGTAAGTATATAATGGACCCTTTTCACAAAAATGTTATGATGCATTTAACAGTCATTAGAATCTTAAAGTTTTTAATATTTAGGTTTAAAAAAAATTATATGAACATTTATATATATATCATATTTCATCTGCATCAAATTACAAAAAATTAATTACCACTTGTGCAAGGCGTTTGTAATGCTGCCTCTATGGGGCAGAACAGTCAATAGCTAGGTTTCCATCCACCTATTTTTAGTTGCATTTTGGATATGTGCTTATAAAAGGGTTGATGGAAATGTCAAGATGTACATAAATTTTAAAAATGCGCATAAAAAAACATATGCGCGTAACGGAGTAGGATAAACTTTTTTTTCGATAAGAAAAGATTCCCATAAACTATGATGAAAAAACTTTTACTGAACAAATTCCAGTATGCGCATTAAAAAAGATCATGTGATTTTGTTATAAGAGATCATGTGATGCTAAACATGTGTACGAATGAATAAACCATTAGGCTGAGCACATTGTAAAACATCTGAAATGTTGTTTATAACACGCCTTAACCATTTCAGTATTAGTGTTGTTATATTATTCGCACATCTTTTAATGCGATAATCCAGTTTTGCACATAAAGGTTATTTGCAATTTTGGACGGAAACATTGCTAATTTGATGTTGTTCTCTCTTCTGGCTGCTGTTATCATTCCTTCATTAATTTTTCTTCAGCTTAGTCTGTATTTCAGAGTTCACCACAGCGAAATGAACCATCAACTATTTTAGCATATGTTTTTACGCAACGGATGCCCTTCCAGCCACAATCTAGTACTGGGAAACACCCATAGACACTAGTTCACACACACTCATACACTATTTAGTTTATTTAATTCACCAAAACCGGTTGTGTTTGGATTATAAAACCCACCTGAACACAGGGAAGACATACATACTCCACACAGAAACGCCAACTGGTCCAACTACTGTAGGACTCGAACCAGCAAACTGCATGCTGAGCCACCGTGTTGTCCCCTACTGTTGTCAGTCTCACACAATTTTTTGTCTTTTTCTGAAAATCTTGATAACACTATCGGGGAGTTTTCTTATATTATTTCAACAAACAGGATTGTAAAAAAAAATTGTTGTACTTTCCCCATTTACTGCACCTTAAGTTTTCCAACTACATTGCATCAACTTCCTCTACTGAGAAACCCAGAAATGTGAAAAGGGTCCATAAATACTTTTACTATTTTAAATTAATTAAAAGTAATCATAAACATAAGATGAAAAATGATATATTTTTGAACTCTACTAATCAAAGTATCATATTTCAAATCAAAGATATAGTGTATATTAATAGTAAATGATCTATTGTAATATTCCATGATATACTTGTTTTTATTCTAAGCCTTAATTAAAAAAACATTTACCAATGTAAAGCTAGTAGTATGTGTGTATGTATATAAATATATATTACCAAAGTTGTATTTGTAAATTTTTAATATTCAGATTTGCAGCTGTACATGTAGTGTATGTCTGCCATATGTAATGTGTATTTTGCCCGTGCCCTTTCTTTTCAATTTGCTTGTAATTACCCTCTGAGTGCACAGCCGTGCTGTCGTGTTTATCCTGGATTAGAGAGGCCTGAGTTTCTTTAGGCCTTTGCCAGAGTAGGAGCTGTAGGTTTGTGTGTGCGTGCATGTGTGTGTGTGTGTTGTGTATGAGCCGCTCCAGGTTTCCTGTGGGAACGCTGGTATTCCAGGCGGCTGAATCATGCAGCCAGGTTTATGTGGCTCAGGACTGGGGCAGATTTCGGGAAATCGGACCAAAGCTGTGAGCGTGTGTATATTTGTGAGAGTCGTGTACGTTTGTGTGTGTGTGGAGTAGATCCTTGCGGTTCACTACAGAAACAGTCCATGTATTCTACTCCATGTATTTACCTCCGGGCAGTGTGCAAAAAAAAAGTCAAAATGTTTTATGTCAGATGCATAGGTTTACATTTTTCCAAACAGACAGCATGCCAGTCATCTTTTGTTCACACTGTTGATCTCCATCCCGCACCTCCTGAAGGCCTCAGCACCATGGTTCCTCCACACGCGATTTGAGCCTGAAACCTTTAGTGAGAGACGTGAGGTGTGTTTGAAAGTGTGAGTTTGTTGCGATTATACACTGAAGACATGTTTTTGAACATGTTTAACACCATCAGTCATCATTACTGTTTAACGCCGCCATGCAGTCAGTAGCATTCTTTCAAATAATTTATTAGACTTTTGACTGCAAGGATACATTACATTGATAAATAAATGACAGTAAGACTTAGAATAATTAAACCCCCTTTGAATTATTATTATATTTTTTTTATATTTCCCAAGTAATGTTTAACAGAGCAAGGAAATTTGCACAGTGTGTCTGATAATATTTTTTTCTTCTGGAGAAAGTCTTAATTGTTTTATTTTGGCTAGAATAAAAGCAGATTTAAATTTTTTTTACAAACATTTTAAGGTCAAAATTATTAGCTTATAATTGATATATTTCTATTAATTAAAAATATTATTAAGCTATATTTTTTTCCGATATTCTACAGAACTAATCATCGTTATACAATAACTTTCCTAAATACCCTAACCTGCCTAGTTAACCTAATTAACCTAGTTAAAGCCTTTAAGTGTCACTTTAATATAAAATGTATAAAAGTGTCTTAAAAATCTATTAAAATATTATTTACTGTCATCATGGCAAAGATAAAATAAATCAGTTATTAGAAATTAGTTGTTTACTCATTGTGTACTCACAATTTTAAATGTGAAGTTTTCAAAGGTCATTTTTTTCCCACAATTATGCCTATAGAAGAACCATACACACACACACGCAAAAAAAAAAAAAAAAAAACTTTTTAGCAAAGTAACAAATGAATTTAAATCAGTATTCTAAAGCAGTGTTTCTCAACTGGCAAGTCACAAAATCACTTTGAATGTATGGCGAAGGGTGAGATTTTAAGCTTAGTTTAAAAAGTTTAAAAAGATGCGTTTGAAAGCTGTTAACGCTTCTGTCTGACCTGGGTCAAGGAAAGAAAATCACATTGTTCAGTATCTGGGGTCCGGTAAGAAGTTGTCTACAATAATAATAATTCATTTTATTTGTAAATGGCACTTTTCTGGACCCCAAAGGTCACCTTACAAGCATCAACAGCCATATAAGAACAAATTAAAACAATTAATAAAACGTTGACAAACTAGATTTTAAATGCATGGAGTTGCAGGGACAAACACATCATGAGTATAAAATAACATGAATAAAAATAGTCAAAAGAAAGCCTGCTTAAAAAGATGTGTTTTAAGATGACACTTGAAAGTGTCATTATCATTCTCCTAACATTGTTTTCACCACCACATTAAAAAGTTTCTCACCTCAGAAAAACATATTTAGTTTAACATGAAAGTGATTTATATATACACATTTATGTCTATTATAATATTTCGAGATATACTTGTTTTTAATCAAACAAACAAAGCCTTAGTTAATAAAAACATTTTACTAATGTAAAACTAAATATATTATATGTAATGTGTAGTATAAAAGTATGTGTGTATGTATATATATTATATATTAGTAAAGTTGTATTTGTATATTTTTAATATTCAGATTTGCAGCTATACATATACAGTAGTTATGTCTGCCATATGCCATGTGTATTTTATCATTGTCATTCTACTAATGTTGTTTTTGCCACCGCAATAAAAACTTTCTCACCTCAGAAAAATACCAGCTTTAGTTGAACATGAAAGTGATTTATATATACACAATTATGTCACAAATGATTTGTATTCATGAAATAAGCTGTTCTTTGAAGTTTCCTTTGAATCCCGGAAAAATATATCATACTTTCCACAAAAATATTTACCTGCACAGCAGTTTTCAACATTAAGAACAAATGTTTCTTGGTCAGCAAAACGGCATACTAAAATTTGACACTAAAAACCAGAATAATGACTGCTGAAAATGCTGCTTTTTTAAAATATTTTAAAATAAAAAAGTTTGTCTACTGTATTTTTGTAATCAAATGAATTCAGCATTGGCGAGACATCTTTCGAAAACATTAATAAA